CTCTGAAATCTGGATGTTTTTGGACGCTGCATACGGTGGTCTTGTAAGGCACAAAGGAAGGAAAGAAGGCATCGTTACTGACTGCACTGTAATAGTCTTAAACATCCTGCTGGCATTCAGGAATCGGCTGTATTTTGTGTGCTGTTACGGAGATGAAGAAGAAGAAGAAAAGATTGGATTTATACCCCGCCCTTCACTACCCAAAGGTGTCTCAGAGCGGCTTACAAACTCCTTTCCCTTCCCCTCCCCACCACAGACACCCTGTGAGGTAGGTGGAGCCGAGAGAACTCTTGACAGAAACTGCTCTTTTTCAAGAACAGCTGTGCCAGAGTTATGGCTTGCCCAAGGTCACACCAGCCAGGTGCAAGAGGAGGAGTGGGGAATCAAACCCGGTTCTCCCAGATTAGAGTCCGCGCACTTAACCACTACCCCAAACTGGCTCATGTATGAATGCTTAGAACTGAAGGGATTCTCAGCCAGGCCCATAGCCACAGTGGGGCATTTAGGGACGGTGCCCCCTCACTCGTGCCCCACACTCCACAACTCTCGCCCTTACCTGCTGGTCATACTCATTCACCTCGGCTACTACAGGAGGAGAGCCGTCTGGATGGTGCAATTGATACTTGGTGAGTAGGCACTCTCTGCTACAGTAGCGGGCGGGTGAGGCCTGCTGGTACGGTAGCACAGAGGGCATGATCCGTGAGCATTGCCGGCAAGCTGGTGCGATTAATGGTCACGGATCATGCACTCTGTGCTACAGTAGCAGCAGACCTCACCCACCCGCTACTGTAGCAGGGAGTGCATACTCACCAAGTATCAATTGCACCATCCAGAGCAGCTAGCAGGTAAGGAAAGACCCTTCTCTTCTTCGCCTGCCTGTCTGCTGACAGGATCTCCCCCCAAAAAACCCCTCCCCCACCCCCCTGGATTTCCCAAAGTCCCACCAACCAAAATTTTCTGGCTATGCCGCTGTTCTCAGCAGTAGAGAGCCACTCAAGAGAAAGACCTGGGGGAATGACAGACCACCTCTTTCTCTTGCATGTCTGGTTCAGCTTCGTATGTGGTTCTCCTCGAGCCCAGATAGGAACCCATCCCCAACTCAGTTACCTGCTTCTTTCACTGTCCACACTAGTAATTCAAACTGGTTTCTCTATCAGTCCCTATCCTCCCAATTCTGGTGACTGTGGTGCTATGAGGAGACTAGGGGATTCTCAACACCCTCCCGAACCTACTGCTCAGGGTTCCTTGAGAGAAATTGTCAGAGAACGTTTAAGGATCCTTTCAATTTACAGTGCAGATGTTAAATAAACCCTAAACTGAAAAAAACCTGCATCACAGAACTCAGTCGTGGTAAAACCACTCCCCCCCCCCCAATTAACTCCTCACCTTCAAGTGTATGTAGTCGAGGAGCTGGAAGTGTTCGGCGTACATTCGGAGGTACTCCAGAAGCAAGGAGTGATGTAGGAAGTTGGGGCAGCCCTCCGGGAACGGGAAGTCGCTGAAGGAGGTCATTTCCTTCGACGTGTTGGTTATTACAGATTTGTATACATTAGTCCTTCCCTGTTCAGGAATTTCCTGTACAGTGACAGCAGTTACATGAGCAAGAGCCGAGATTCTGAAAGGGTCCATTTCCAGTTTGGTGTAGTGGTTAGGAGCATGGATTCTAATCTGGGAGAACCGGGTTTGATTCCCCCACTCCTCCACATGCAGGTACTGGTGTGACCTTGGGCAAGCCATAGTTCTGTCAGAGCTATTCTCTCAAGGGCAGTCCTCTCAGAGCTCTCTCAGCCCCACCCACCTCACAGGGTGTCCGTTGTGGGGAGGGGAGGGGAAAGGAGTTTGGAAGCCGCCCTCCTTTGAATAGTGAAGGGCGGGGTATAAACCTAATATCTTCTTCACTTCTAAATGGTGCTGGCATGGACATCTTCGAGGATTTTGCCACCCAAATAGGTACCGTATGGCACCCTTTGTGGGTCCACCACCCACAATCCACCACCTGCAATAGGAGCCTGTGTAGCTGGATGCCTGTGCCCATGGCAAGGAAACTTTTTCCAGGGTAGCCCTCTTGAAGAATGCCTCCCAACACCAGCCCAGGAGCCGGCCTGGATAAGCCCCATGCCTAGAGATGTGAAGGCCCAGGAAAAAAACGGAAAAATTCGGGGGGAAAACCGGTTTCCCCCCCATTTTTTTCCTGAAGCCTTTTTGGTTTTTTTTCCGAAAAATTGAAAAAATTGATATATATGGTATATATCTGATATATATGGTATCAGATTGATGTAATTTCTGTGCACTGAGGACAAGCAAGTCCTAGGTTACAAACTGAACTCTCCAATGCAAGAACAAGATGCATTTCTTCCTTTAGGAGGTGCGATTGTCAGAAGAAAATAAAAAAGTTTCAGTTTTGTTTTTGCATGTGGGTGGGTATTCTGTTTGTAATAATTGTTTGGATACACTATATTTTTAATATGCTAGTTGTGATAATTTCATGCCAAGTAAAAATAACCCGGAAAAAAAACGGGTTTTTTCCTGAGCTTCAAAATTTCTGGAAATTTTACATCTCTACCCATGCCTATGTCTACATCTGGTGGTTATAGCCATGTCATTCCAGGGACGGCATCTTGTCATGTATTTCGAAACCAGAGGAAGAGATTTCACTTTGGTGCGTTCAAAGGCACCTGCAACTCAAGTCTTAGAAGGTTTTTCCCCCACCCACCTACAGTGCCAACTAGGGCTGGGAACTCTGAGTTGGGACATTCCTGGAGATTTGGGGGTGGACCCCCGGGGAAGGAAGTGACCTCGTTGGGGTAGAATGCTATAAAATGTGCCCTTCAAAGCTCCCATTTCCTCCTGGGGAACTCATCTCGGTAGTCTGAAGAGCAGGTAATTCTGGGAGGTCATCAGCAATACCCCCTCTAAGCTGTGGAGCCTTGTGGGCAAACATTCTACCTTGTGAGCTACCGGCATTAACGTTGTGAGCGAGCAAGTTGGCTACTGCATAGATTAAGTTTGCTCTGGAGCCCCATCCTTCCTGAGCCGAGACAAAAATGTGTGACCTGGAGGCTCTAAGCTAGCTCACACTGACTCAGCCTAGAGGGAACACTGGTCACCAGACCCCCACCTGGAGACTGGCAGTCCTGGTACCAACCCAGTTCCCTCCCACTTTTACGGCACCTTGGACAGAAGTCCTGACCAGTGAATCAAATGCCACCCCTCCCACCATGCTTCAGGTTGGTTCTCTGCCCGTCTTAAGGTAAAGGTAAAGGTTTCCCTTGCTCGAAAGCCAGTTGAATCTGACTCTAGGGTTGCGTCAAAGCCAAAGAGCCAGCGCTGTCCGAAGACGTTTCCATGGTCATGTGGCCGACATGACTAAATACCAAGGCGCACGGAACGCTGTTACCTTCCCACCGAAGTGGTACCTATTTATCTACTTGCAATTTCTTGCTTTTGAACTGCTGGGTTGGCAGGAGCTGGAACTAGAGACGGGAGCTCACTCTGTCATGCGGCACACCCAGGTCTCGAACTGCTGAACTACTGACCTTCCACAGCCTGCAGTTCAGTGTCTTAACCACTTGAGCCACCGCACCTCCTCTGCCCGTCTTACTTTCCCATTTATTTACCGTTCATTGCCCACTGCTCCCTTGCCCCTTGCCTACCATCTCTTCACACCCTCAGTGAGCACCACAATCTCTGTCTTAGCCTGAAAACCCACCCAGCAAGGGACTTTCCGAAATCTTGGCTTCCTTCCAAGCCTGAATTCCACTCACCCGGAATTGCCAGAGTCCCCCGATGCCGTCGCTCTTCTCAAAACAGGTGGGCTCCAGCCCTTCGTCCAGGCAGCATTTAAGGGAGGCCAGCCCACTGACCCCTGCCCCGATGATAGCCACTTTCTGGGCCATGCTCTCCAGGGAGAGGCTTTCCAGGACGTGTGCCTCAAAGGAGCACCAGTCTCTTTTGCCTGCATAAGTAAAGTGCAAGGTTCATCTGCCTGTTGTTTCCTCTGAGTCATTCTGATGTTGCAGAACTGGTATTTTTCAGCCTTACGGAATATCTCTAAACATCACTGCCAACTGGAATGGTGATAAGCCCCGTAGACCTCCGTATGTCAATCATGGCCATTCAAAACAGCCTTTGTATATTGGCTGTGGCTGAGCTGTTCTCCCACCAGAAGCACCTATGAATCCAGTCGGGCTTTTATGGGAGCCCCAAGAAAGAGCGAGATTTCCTTAGACAGAGTGACTTAGGAACTCTCTTTCGGGTCTAATGGCTTGAAGGGGAAGTGTGAGGCAGTTGCCGTCAGGGGGAGTCTAAAAAGTTTCACAAACTGATTGCGAAAGGGGAAGTTCCAGAGTTACAAGCTGCAGATTTTCAGTTACCTTAACCATTGACATTAATGGGACTCTGTCTAAATTCTTACTCCCTTTCTGGTAATTCTTACTCATTCTCTCTCTCTCTCTCTCTCTCTCTCTCTCTCTCTCTCTCTCTCTCTCTCTCTCCTTTCAAAACAACTGTTTTTCTGGGGGCTACTACTTAAAGGCTCATGCCTGTGCCAAAGACAATCCAGCCTTAAAGGATGATAGGGAAATGACTTTACTGAAGGATGCTTTACTGAAGGATGATAGGGAAATGGCTGAGAAGCTGAATGCATTTTTTGCCTCTGTCTTCAGTGTGGAAGATGAGAGGTGCTTGCCCACTCCAGAACCGCTGATTTCAGGAGGGGTGTTGAAACAACCAAGTCAGATTGAGGTGACGAGAGAGGAGGTCCTAAAACTGATAGACAACTTAAAAACTGATAAATCACCAGGACCAGATGGCATACATCCGAGAGTTCTGAAAGAACTCAATTGTGAACTTGTGGATCTCCTGACAAAAATATGTGATCTTTCCTTAAAATCTGCCTCCATTCCTGAGGACTGGAAGGTAGCTAATGTCGCTCCCATCTTTAAAAAGAGTTACAGAGGAGATCCGGGAAATTACAGGCCAGTCAGTCTGACATCGATACCGGGTAAATTGGTGAAAACTGTTATAAGGAAAGAATTAGTAGGCACACTGATGAACAAAGCCTACTGAGGAAGACTCAGCATGGGTTCTGTAAGGGAAGATCTTGTCTCACTAACCTGTTAATGTTCTTTGAGGTGAGCGCCTGGTTCATCCGTCCTGCCTCCTTTGCTGGTCTCCCTCCCTCACTGGGTCCGTTAGCTTTTCCTCACGCTTGCAGGATTGGCCTCTGCTCATCAGGGGGTCTTGTATGATTGGGGTATAATTGCTTAGTCCGCTCATTTTACTACTCTGATCAATAAACTGAACCTACTTAGGTTATTGGAATACCTGACACTAACCTGTTAGTGTTCTTTGAGGGAGTGAACAAACATCTGGATAAGGGGGACCCAATAGATGTTGTTTAGCTTGACTTCCAGAAAGCTTTTGATAAAGTTTCTCATTAAAGGCTCCTAAGTAAGCTCAATAGTCATGGGATAAAAGGAAAAGTCCTTTTGTGGATCAAAAACTAGCTAATTAATAGGAAACAGAGAGTGAGTATAAATGGGCAATTTTCTCAGCGGAGGGTAGTAAGCAGTTTGGTGCCACAGGGATCAGTACTCGGTCCGATGCTTTTTAACTTGTTCATTAATCATTTGAAGTTGGGCGTAAGCAGTGAAGTGGCTAAATTTGCGGATGACACGAAGTTGTTCAGGGTGGTGGGAACCAGTGAGGATTGTGAGGCACTCCAAAGGGATCTGTCAAGGATGGGCGAGTGGGCATCAACGTGGCAAATGGGATTCAGTGTGACCAAGTGCAAAGTGATGCACATTGGAGCCAAAAATCCTAAATATAACTACACGTTGATGGGGTCTGAACTGGCATAGACTGATCAAGAGAGAGATCTTGGGAGTCGTAGTAGATAACTCACAGAAAATGACGAGACAGTGTGTGACTGCAATAAAGAAGGCCAACGCTATGCTGGGGATCAGGGGTCATTTCCTGCTGGAGCGCCCCAGAGCAGCGCTCTGGAAGGAAGGGGCCCAGGCCCTGCCCCACACCAGTCTGGGTTCCCTGACCAATCTTGTATGACAGAAGCCTGCTGGGTGACCTTGGGCCAGTTACACACCTCAGGCAAACCTACCTCACAGAGTTGTCGTGAGGATAAAAAAGAGGAGAGGACAATGATGTCATTTGCTCTGGGTCCCCGTTGGGGTGAAAGACAGGATGTCAATAAATAAAGGAAATAAAACAGTGTAATGAAAGCAGAGTTAAGTCCTTCTAAGTCCGTTGGCATCAGTGGACTACAGAGGAGGCAGCTTTGGGGAGCAGGGGGCACAACAACAATATCAACAACAAACAGTAGCCTTTTCGTTTGTGCCTTTTAAAAAAAAGGTAATTACTTGCACTCCAGATGTCTTCACACTAAAAAATGGTGAAAGTAACCATGGAAAATAATGCTAATGACAAAATTTATCAAGGACGTCTATTTGGGGAAGGAAACAGTGGGGGCAGTGAAGGAATATCAGCGTGGCGACCCAGATGGGACTTTACTGCTCCACTGTTCTCCTGGAAATTGGGAACCCAGTTATCAGGGTAATTGCACAAGGCAGAAACATCTACTGATGTGCTGAGTTCATCGTGAGAAGCTACCTTGCCAAAGGGATTTTCACATTAAAACAATAAAAGGGATGACATGTAGGCACAGTGAAGAATTCACTGCTCTCCTGTTCTCCTGGCTGGAGATTGGGAACCCAAATGTATATATATACTGAGAGCCCAAGATGGAATCTGTTTACTGCTTAATGACGCAGTCGGTTTGGCCTTAGCAGAGTTGCGAGTGAGAGAGATAGCAGACAGCTGCCTGTACACACACACACACACACACACACACACACACACACACGTTCCTTAGTTTATGTCTCATAAAAGGATGCTGTAATGTATGAAAGGGAGGGGGGGAAGGAGGAGACGGATTTTTCAATAAATATAGCTGGTGAGTCAGAGGATTCATTCGAGGATTCATTCAGTCAGTCAGTTCCTGCAGACTTGTGTCCTGTCTTCTTTGAACCACGGCAAACTACAGGAAACCACAAATCCTGGAAATCATTTTGGTTACTATATTTATTAATTTTTGGAAAGATCGATACAAGTACTATTGCTTTGATATATCGTAAAGTCCTTCGTTATGACATTGTTTTCTTCTTATGCGGTAATTGCTAAACCCCTCGTTTCCCCCTTTCAGTATCTGATACCTTAGTCCGGGGAAACAATTGATAAACTGATGCAGTCGTTGTTAACAATCCAAGTCTAAAACAAAATCTAAGCTTGCAAAGCACTTTGTACATGAACGTAGTTCAGTAAGTGATCAACGCATGCGTGCAGTTCTCATTTTGGTTGTGAGGAAGCCCCAGGTCCCAATCCCAGAGGAGCCCGAGTCACTTCAGGAGAAGGGGACAGGCAATCGTCTTCATGTAGGCAATTTGAAAAACTAACTGCACAGGGCCAGGTGTATCACTGACTATTAGCCAAGGTAACGCAATAGACTCTCTGTATACAGAGCAGGAATACCTCTCTGTAGGGAAGAGGCTATTACTAGGGGGAAGCCAGGGCCTTTGCACTCTTTTTGAGATCTTCCTGAAAGCACCTGGCAGGTTACGGGTGTGAACACGGTGCTGATCGTCGGTCTCTTCAAAAGGCCCTGTAGCTTCCCCCTGTATTAATCTTAAAGACAACAGTTTTCAAATGAAAAGTAGGGCTCTTCTTATATTGCTAATACTGTTGTTGCATAACTTGCAAACATACTACTGTGGATTACAGAGTAAATGATTGTTTCAAAAGTTACAAACCCTGGAAGTGAGAGAAGAAATAGTGACCTCTGCATTTATAAAACTCTAAATATATAAAGTGTATTTATTTGCATAAAAACTGCAAAGAAGAGCAGCAGAAGAAGAAGAGATTGGATTTATACCCCCGCCCTTCACTACCCAAAGGTGTCTCAGAGTGGCTCACAAACTCCTTTCCCTTCCCCTCCCCGCAACAGACACCCTGTGGGCAATGCTCCCTCTAAGCTGTGGAGACTGGTGAGCAAAAATTCTGCTTTCTGAGCTACTGGCATTAAAGTTGTGAGCCAACGATTTGGCTGCTGCAGAAATTAGTTTGCTCTGGAGCCATCCTTCCTGAGCCGAGACAAAAAGGCGTGAGCCGGAGGTTAAAAAACTGTGAGCTGGCTCACACTAACTCAGCTTAGAGGGAACACTGCCTGTGAGGTAGGTGGGGCTGAAAGAGCTCTGACAGAAACTGCTCTTTTTCAAGGACAGCTCTTATCAGAACTTATCAGAAAAGTGCAAATAGTGCAGAAACAGTTAAATACAGGGCCAGTTCAGACAATATGGCAGCCCTACATATGCTAAGGAGTGTGTGTGTGGGGATAACATCTAACCATCCTATCCGCCAAGCGCTCCAGCCCTCTTCCCTAGCACCACAGGACACCCATGAAGTGGTATAAAATTCAACCAGGTCAAATTGAATAGAATCCTAGATTAAATGTAGGGTTTCAACTGTGCCTTTGATTCCAGTCTGTTGCAGCAAAATTAAACAGAAGTCTTCAAAGAGAGCGACAAAGTGAGCGACTCAGCAGGCCTGGACATTGAGGGGTGCTACGTACATCAATAAGTGTGTACAGGTGTTCTCTCCTTGAATGGGATGTCTCTCTTTGTCTTAACCTGGGAGCGGTACTCTGACCCCTTTTCCTCTCCCTTATTTCACATGGCCTTCCACAGAGACATACATGTCTGCAGGTCTCTCCTGTAAAGACGATGCCCTCCTACTCCCACACGCATGATGCCAGACAAGCTAGCCGTTTGTGGTAGGGAAAGAAAGGAGTCTTTAGATTAGGGTTCTTTCTCTTCTTTTGAATGCAACCTGGATGTGAACTGGATCTACTTGCATAAATGTAGGTTTTCCCCTTTTGCAATATACTTCTTGGGAGATGTATTTACTGCACTCAGTATCAGGCTTCTCTGACTGGGCAAACTCTGCTCTATTAACCAAATATCCCAACAGAAACAACCACCAATCAAAGAGCAATCATCCATCCAGGGCAGGCGAGTCCCACTCCCTGCAGCAGATGGAGGGCAAAGGCAAGAGTTGGATTCAGTCAAGGAAGGTGCCATCTGAGATGTGATAAGAACTCACCCAAAGGGTGGGTTATGCAGAGTTATTAGCACCTACTGGTGAGCGGCTCCTTCCTACTGAAACAATATTGTTCCTACTCTTGTTGTAGCTCCCTCCTGTCTTTTTATTGCTTGTATCCAACCTGAATAAAAGCTGTTAGTCTTTAGGGTGCCTCTGGACACCTGTGCAATGGAACTGTGCCCACAGAAATTCTGGATGCTGGATTTGATTCCATCGACCTGTTATGCCACTGCGTGAATTCCCGCTGGTGTCAGAGGCGGGACAATCTGGGTGGGAAAGTAAAGCATGCTCCCCCGACAGCATAGGGCTGGCACATAGTCCAAATTAATTAAAAGAGTGCGCTAAGCATGCTCAGTTAGTATGTTTTCAATCTCTATTTCCAATTCTTGCCAACTATTTAACTTATCCAAACAGTGTTATGGAATTCACATGGAATTCACTGCCACAGGAGGTCGCGGCGACTACAAGCATGGATGGCTTCAAGAGGGAATTAGAGAAGCATATGGAGCAGACGTCCATCACTGGCAATTAGCCACAAGGTATAGATAGGGACTCCCGGTCTGGGGCAAGTGGTGCTCTGTATTCTTGGTGCTTGGGGGTGGGCAACAGGGCTTCTGGTATCCTGGCCCCATTGCTGGACCTCCTGATGGCACCTGGTATTTTTGGCCACTGTGTGACAGAGTGTTGGACTAGGTGGGCCATTGGCCTGATCCAACATTGGCTTCTCTTATGTTCTTTTGTTCTTATTAGGAAAACAAGAACCCACTTGTAAGAAAGGCTGGTTTCCTTAAAGCCTTAACAGGGCATTTGGATTTCAAGTGGGGCTGCTGGAGAAACTCTTCACCTTTCTGAATGTCGTTGAGACTGAAACTCACTTGCATGCAAAAATGTTGAATTTTGATGCCATCCTGTAAACTTTCAAAACCCACCCCTTTCATGGAACAGTTGACTTTTGGAGTTGCAGTGAATTTTATGGGCTTGGAGTAGGCTTTCATTTGGTGAGATCTCTCTTACACATTGGTATATAGGTCTCGTCTTCCACTACAAAAACAGGTTTGAAAAAAAAATCAGATATCAATATTCACACTGAACAAATCTGAATTCTGATTGTAAAGTTCCTTCGTCCTTCTTAAGAACATCAGAAGAGCCCTGCTGGATCAGACCAGTAGCCCATCTAGTACAGCATCCTGTCTCACACAGTGGCCAGCCAGTTCCTCTGGAGGGCCAACAACTGTTGCCTCCTGGCTCTCCTAGGAGAAGACTTCGGCCTCTGTGCCCTGTTGTTGGCTATCCAGAGGACCTGACTGGCCACTGTGCACCCTGTACAAAATGACAAACATAGACAGAAAGCAGATACCAGGAAATGCAGAAAACCAAACTTAAAGCTGTCAGAACTAATTCAAACCGTAGAGGATCCCAATAAAGACCGCAAAGAAGGCCAGAGCTTTCAGTAAGTATGCAATGAAACTGGATGAGTCTTCCACCACCCGGGTTCTGATGGGCTTCAGGGTCCGCTCCCACTGGTTCATGATAGCATCTCTGGCTCCATCCCACTTCCCTGGTCCAACCAGGCGGTACTGGTAGGGAGAACAAGGCCCAAAGAAGATCTTCATGGCCAGCTTTGGATCACTGAGCAGTAGAGCAGGTATGCTGGGCTTGATGCCGATAGAGCAAGCCACCTGGTCCATGTACGTCAGGCAGTCTGTTTTCAGAACCTCATCGTAGGACAAGCCGAACCTTCACAGAAGAATGAAAAGGGGGAAAGAAAGAAAGAAAGAAAGAAAGAAAGAAAGAAAGAAAGAAAAACAGGTGAAAATCAAAGGCACAGGATTTGAATATTTTGTTCCCAATAGCCTGCACAAGAAATATGGAGCTACAGGTGTCCACCACAAAGCTTTTGAAGTGTCAGTGTCCTTAGAAAATGGGAAATTTCTACAGTTCTTCAGAAGATCCTATGTGGTAATAAATATTGCGAGAACCCAGGGTATCTTTATAAGTACAAGCACAGAGTTATGGCCTTGGTATAGATATCAGCAAGCTGTGAAAGTGATAATTATCTTGGTAGCAAACACGTAGTTTTAAGACTCTGGATGCCATGGTCTTATGGAGGGGGTGGGGGTGGGCTTAGACTTCAACCGTGAACACAGAATGAACATGTCACAACTGTAGCCACACGTAATCCCTCCCCATGTTGTTGGCTGTCCAGAGGAACCCATTGGCCACTGTGTGCCCTGTGCATGGAGAGGAGGAGCAGGTATGAGCATGCTGGCCCCATCCCCTCCTCTCCACAGTCACCAACCTGTGAGCATAGCCTGCAGACATGGAGGAAGAGTGCACATGTATGTTGGCATAGATTGGACCTTCATCCAAGGCACCTTCTTCCAGCCTAAGGAACATTCCTCCATCTTAATTGGCTCTCATATTGGACACCTCCAATCGGAACATTCCTCTGTCTTAATTGGCTCTCATATTGGACACCTCCAATCAGAGGAAGCCTCCAAAGGCTTCAACCTTTGCTCATTGGACTAGTAGGCTAAGGATGGGATGCACCCCGTCCTTTCTCTGTGACAAGGGATGCTGCTTGCCAAATGTTCTTGATCACAGTGGCGATGGTAACAATGTGTGTAGGTGCATCTCTGGGTGCAGGCGCCATGCTTACAAGCCAGTCAGCACATGGAGGCAGAGTCTTTCCTTTTGTCCATCTTCAATTTTTGACCATCAGCTTCACTTGGTACCCCAAGTTTTAGTATTGCTGTGTCTCCAGCCCATGCATGATTTTATATCATGCCCTCCTTCTGTTGTATTTTTTCTAAACTTCTTCCAAATGTCCTCGGCCTGCCTCTTTGAATTGGGCCCGGAGGTCACAAGAGGGGGCATGTGCTTTCTCAAATGCCACTGTGATCTGATAGTGATTTAGAAGAAGGAGAGATTGGATTTATACCCCACCCTTCACTACCCAAAGGAGTCTCAGAGTGGCTTACAAACTCCTTTCCGCCCAGTTCCAGTTTTGGCAACTCGAAAGGCGGGCACGCTCCATCGGACCTCTGATGGAAGCAGCCCGTGACCTGGCAAATTTCAACAACCAGGATCAGCTGAAAGAGCTAAATTTAAAATCAGAGGAGATGGTAAAAGCAGTGAAGCCAAGTCAAAAGCAATTCAACAAAAACTGGAAGGCTGAAAATCTGAAGCAGATCTTAAGTCAAGCGTTGGCCCCAAGAACAGGTGTATTAGCGGATGTATTATAAAGCGATATGGATATGATCCATTGGACATATCCAGGATTTATCAAGAAAAATAAACCTGTCGTGGGGAAAATGACAAGATTCTCATAGAGATCGGGGGGACTTGTCTTCAAATATAAAGATTTTTTAAAAAGAAAAAAGATGGACTCTGTCTTTAAAGTGAAGCTGGTTCTGGAACAGCAATAAAGACAAGCGTATGACAAAAGACCAGCAGAGGGGAAAGATCGGGAAGAAGAAAGCAACCCATTTGGATTGGAAAGTATACAAAGTACGATGGGCAGCAATCCAGAAGAGGGCAAGAACCATAGAAAGAGGTGGCGGACCCAAAAGTCCCAAAGGTCCGATGTAATTTGGACAAAAAGAAGTTCAGAAGAAAGAAACCGAAATAATATAACTCTGAAAGTTAAATTGTTTAAGCCATACTTACCTGATTTAATTTTTTAAACGTTAGTTGGTAGAGAAGCGATAAGAAACCACACCATTCCAATAATTATAACATAAAGCAAACTTTGTTTAAGCTAATGATTAATCTTTTTATATGATCCTTGTATAGCTTAGGTTTTAGTCTAGTGTTGTAGTATATGTAGTGTTGTCAGTCTTTGTAGTTGTTAGTCTTGTAGTATGAAAACAAAGAAATCTTAAAAAAAAAACCTCCTTTCCCTCCCCCTCCCCACAACAGACACCCTGTGAGGTAGGTGGGGCTGAGAGAGCTCTTTCGAGAACTGTCCTTGAGAGAACAGCTCTGACAAAACTATGGCTTGCCCAAGGTCATCCAGCAGCTGCGAGTGGAGGAGTGGGGAATCAAACCCAGTTCTCCCAGATTAGAGTCCGGGCACTTAACCACTACAACAAACTGGCTCTCACTTAGATTTATCTAAGGAAGTGCAAGAGGAAGGAGGCTGCTTGGAGGGGCCCAAGAGTTGCATTGCAAAAACGCTGATCTCAGCAGATGAAGCTTCCCTTACAGATACAGCAGCAAACCAGTCCGGGTTTCTTTCAGGTCAGCTGGCAACCATAAATTGCCCTTGCATTTAGCTAAGGAGGATGTGGCTGAACACAGTAGCCGTGCACATACATTACAGTGAATGCACGCATAATCCACATATGCACTACAAGTGATTTTGCTTTGTATAGACATTACGTAATCCTTACATTACATTCAAAGTACATGCAGCTAAATGCTTGATTTAAACCCCACATTTATCCAGGTATTGGTCCCCCATTTTCCTCTGTAACTCGGGTGCACATTGGCTCTTTCTGACAGAAGAATGTGTGCTTGCAAGATGTACGTGACTTCATTGCAACACGAGAACAGGACTGTGTCTTATTTTTGAAAAGTGGCTCACCAGGTGATGTTTTTCTTCTTTTCATTGACCTCTCCTATCATGGCGTTCAGTGGAGGCAACTTGCATAACCCTAAAAGACAGGAGGAAAAAGAAGTTTTTTTTTTCTTTTTAGTAGGTTTTTTGTTCATTTGTCTTTTTAACTACATAAGCTAAAAGATAACTTTTTTTTTGCAGTGAAACAAAACTGACTGGGGGTCTCCATGCTAGACCACACAGCCACAGGGGGCACACAAAGTTATGTGGGAGCACTAACCTGAATGTCCCTGTAGCCACGCAAGCAACGTTCCCTCTAAGCTGTGGAGTTTTGTGAGCAAAAATTCTACTTTGTGAGCTACTGGAATTAAAGTTGTGAGCGACTGATTTGGCTACTGCATGAATTAGTTTGCTCTGGAGCCATCCTTCCCGAGCTAAGACAAAAACGTGTGAGCCGGAGGCTAAGAAACTGTGAGCTACCTCACATTAATTCAGCTTAGAGGGAACACTGCATGCAAGTCATGTGATTTGTTTGTATTTGGGTTGGGTTCAGGCATTATGGGGGGCACAGAGAATCTTTGTAACTGGGGCATTGGGGCTGATCCTGCATTGGCCTTTCCCTCTGTTGTTGTATGAAACCCACGCTGGAATAGAAATTCCCCTCTGCATTGCATGCTGCTTTCACTTTTTTTGATCATCGGATTTTATGGTACCTTCTGCATAGATTTATGGTTGTTTTACGGTTGTTCAGAGGTGATGTTGCAGTCAGTATGGTGTTGCCCTGAGGTATTTGGATGTGGTTTTGAGCTGCACTTTTCCCTCCAAGTTGAGAGAATGTGGAGCAAATGCTGGATGCAGAATTGCCCTGGGTGGGTGCACAAGGTGATACCCCGGCCAGGATCCCCTGCCAGGGATTGTCTCTCAGTCTTCATGTTGCACATGGTCAGAGTCCTCACACATCTCTTCCTTGTGGATTGGCAGAGGCTATCACACTCTGTCTTGAGTGCATGGCTGTTCAATGCCACTTTATGCATCATGGCTCTCTGTTTAAAAAAGTGCTGTTTTTCTTTGATGCGTTCCAGCATGTATTTCAGCTGGGACACTTGTAGAGAGCTCCCTGCTCCTTTATACGACAATTCTGAGTGAAGGTCACTATGGGACGCTAAACAACCGTTGGGAAGGCGGTCCTCTGTGGTCTCTTCCTCCTTCACTCAGTAAGCTTGCTAGTCTCCCAATGTGGGATTGCACAGAAGCTGTGATGATGAAAGCAGAGTTGCACTTACCAGTAACTGTTGTTCATCAAGTGGTCTTCTGTGCAGGCACACATTCCTCCCTCCTGCCCTGCTGTGAACTCTCTGGAACCTTAGTTTCTTGGGGTCTCCAGTGGCAGCATGGAGAGACATGAGGGAGTAGTGCCCCCCTCCTGGTCATGTGATCGTTATGGCGGGAAAGCGCCAGAGAGAGGACAGGCGTCCCAGTCTACTAGAAAACTTTGGAAATCTTTTCTGCAGCTGGATTTCAGATTTTTCTGCAAACTTGGGACTTCCTCCAAGTTTGTCGACAACTTCCCTTTCCACCTCCATTTTGCTGATTTATTAATCCACACTCCGTGGCCTATTTTAGAATTAGATATACAGTTCTCTTTTACTTTGTGAGTCACCTCAAGGTGAACTAAAAATGTCAAAACCCCAAAAACCTAAACAAATGTTTGGTCTAAAGAAAGAATAATATGAAAATATTTTATGGCTGTTGTTTATGTTTTGCAGGGTGCCCTCGTTTCAATCCAGTGTTGTATTTGGTTTGCCTCATGCAGATAACTCACAGGCAAAGCCAGGGTCTCTACCTACTCAGCGGATTCCGATCCCAGAGATCGATTGTCCTATTGCCCAATGGAAGGAGACTTCCTGTTCGAAACACGCAATTTAGGGGAAGGCTCCTTCAGTTATGAGAACGTTCTGCCTTTACTTGGGATGCAGCCACATAAATATTTCCTTGATTTTACAGAATGATTGGATTTCATCCTACCTACCCTTAAAGACCCGGGTGACCCAGCGCGCTTGGGTTTCCACAACTGGCATGACTGCCCCCAATGGCCTGAGGAAGCCGATGATGGCCAGGGTTGGCTTTTCCAGCTGAGGCGGGAAAATGTATTTGTACAAGGAAGCGTGTTTGTCCTCAACCTTGATGATGGACTCATCGATGAAAGGGAAAGAAGCTTTGTAGCCAGTGGCAAAGACAACAACATCCACTTCCTCTTCACCTTGACCGTCCTCGAACACAACGGAATTCTCTTTGAACTCCTTCACACTGGGCCTGATGGTGACCTTCCCGGTGATGATGCACCCGGGGAGTTCATCGTTCAGTATCGGCTCTCTCATCACAGACCTACAGCAGAGGGAGAAGGGGAAGGACCAAAAGGGAGACATGAGTCTTTTGGCAACACAGGCCAGCATGTTGTCAAACTGGTTTTAAAAAATGGGATGAAGGATCTCAGGCTAACTTTCCTCTACCGGGTTTCATTTTTCTGCTACCCTTCTGACACTGTCAAGGATGAGTTTTACCTATCAGGCCAAGGACCCATGTCCTCCAACGTTTTGCTTTTCACAGGGCTCTTTTTGTAGAAAAAGCCCAGCAGGAACTCATCAGCATAACAGGCCACACCCAACAGCAGAAACTCATTAGCATATTAGGACACACCCCTGATGGCACAGCTCATTAGCCCATTAGGCCGCATCCCCCATGTTACCAGAAGTGTGGTCATCCAGCCACACCCACCTTTTGCTTCTTATTCTGTTGACCTTGTTTGTGGTCAAAACCCAGGGCCTTTTTTTGTTGCAGGGACTCCTTTGCATGTTAGGCCACACCACCCCTACTGTAGCCAGTCCTGATGAGTTTCTGCTGTTGGGTGTGGCCTATTATGCTAATGAGTTCCTGCTGGGCGTGGCCAACTCGGGAGCCAGCCGTAACTCCGTTCCTGTGCGTTCCTGCCCAAAAATAACCCTGGCTTTTCAGCAGTGCCGAGCTAGTCAGATGCTTCCAGGATACACACAAGCAGGGCATCGAACAAACAACCTCCCTCACCGTTTGCGGCCCTCAGCATGCTGCCTCTGAATATGGAAACACCATCTATCTGTCATGGCTAACAGCTGCAAATAGGACTATCCTCCACGAACCTTTCCCAAAAGGTCTCAGCCAATGCTACACTGTGCATCGTGGCAGTGAACTGTGTACATTAATGAGAAGAAGGAGAAAGAGGAGGAGCAGGAGGAGGAGGAGGAGATTGGATTTATACCCCGTCCTTCACTTGGAGTCTCAGAGCGGCTTACAAACTCCTTTCCCTTCCCCTCCCCACAACAGACAGACACCCTGTGAGGTAGGTGGGGCTGAGAGAGCTCTTTTGAGGACTGCTCTTGAGAGAACCACTCTGAAAGGACTTACAACTGATCCAAGGTCACACCAGCCGCTGCAGTGGTTCCTCCAGATTAGAGTCTGTGCTCCTAAGCACTACACCAACCTGGCTCTCGGACGTCTGTCCTGAATTAACTGTCAAACAACCCCAGTTCTAATGTTCTGAGAAAAAGCAAAACAACGCCCAATCTGAACAAAGCTTCAGAGTCCAGTGGGGGCACCCTTAAGACCAATATGTTTAATTCCGGGTATAAGCTTTCATGTTCATGCCCACTTCTTCGGAAGGAAGGACAGGAGGGAAAATAGCAGATGAAGAAGGATGGGCTGATAAAAGTAAGAGGGGGGGGG